GATCGATGAAGCTAAACAACAAAAACTCAAGCGGTTGTATTTAATTTAGTCGAGTGTTTCTCTTAAGATTACTAATTCCTAACGCAGCAAATTAATAACCCTAATTGCTTCACAAGTTAGAGTGATCAAACAATTACGGATTTGATATCTAACTTAGTAGTAGATTGTAACAAATAATAACCTAGTAGACCTCCTAGAAATTAAATGAAACAATCATTAAAATAAGCATAGAAGAACATCCAATACTCAAAGCATAAAATTGAACACTGAAATTAAACGGATTAGATCTCACAGTTATTGATTCTGAGGCCTCCTTTTCCTTCGACCAAGTTATAAAAATTAGCCTCTCATGGCCATCACGAAAATTCCAAAGGAAAAGTTACAGAGAAGACTAGAGAGAGGCATGTGTTTAATGTCTCGTAATCCCTACTCTGATCTCTCTTTTAAAAATATCTAAATTCGAATTCGAATTCTACTCAATCTCCTCAAAATATTCTAATATCCTAAAGTAACATTTATCCTAATCTGATTAATTGGAAATAAAATAATAAAGTCCTAAGATAAAATAGGAAAGTAGTGTTTTCCAGCTGTAATTTGCTTGCAATAGGTCTTTAAACTTCTTGTAATAATCTGCCCATTTGAATTGCATGACAAGGCGGAATGTTCTAGAACATCGGCAGTGCAGGTGTGTCAACTTCAAGCTCGATTACAACCTTGATGCAGCGAGTATCTCTTCAAACTCAAAACATGAAAGTTGTAGATCTCTTTCTTAACGTTCCACAGCATTTTTAATCATCTCAATCGGAGCTCGGACGAGAGAGTTATGCACAGATTACGAAACAATATTGAAACTGTCCGAATTCACTTAATTAGTTCCGTTTTGCAATTAACGCCTCCATTTGCATCCTAAATCAAAATAGAATAATAATGAGTACATTTAGTCAACAAATACGTATAAAAGACTAAACGTTAAGGGGGGTAAATATGACATTTTGCATTATCATCATTTCTACTAACATGTCACACTAGTGTGCTATGACATTCCTCCATGTATTGTAGGGTTGTTAGTCACATATCATAGTTGTTATATTTTGATGTTGTCAACATCCAAGGTTTAAATTAACATTAAGGGTACGTTTGGTTCAAGGAATGTTATATTACTGAGAAATGTTGTATTACTGGAAAGATAGATTACTAGGGAATCTTTAGAGAAATGCATTTGGTCGGTTGAAATAAATTGGTAGGTATGTTATAATAATTTGTTTAGTTGGGAGGATAAATGAGTGGGTATGTTATGTAGAGTACTAAATTGCCCTCTTTTTTAAATAATAATATAATATTATTTTTATTATTATTTTTTAAATTATTTCCTTTAACCCCCTATATTTGAAATTTTACTAAAACACCCCAACCATATACAACTTTAATTTGTAGCAAAATCACCTCCACTCACCCCAAGCCACCGCCGACAGCCAGCCAGCCACCACCACCGACAGCCACCATAATGGTGCACGACTGGTTGGATCTGGCTAATCGTGTGTCGATAAGGCCTAATCCGACCAGATCTAGCCGTGAATATGGTGGCCGTGAATATGGTCGTTTCACGGCTAGATCTGGCTATGAATATAGCTGTTTCACGGCCAAAGATATGGCTGTGAAACTGCCACAGATCTGGGCGTGAAAAGGCCAAATCTTTGGTCATGAAACAGCAACCATTTTACGATCAAAGATCTGGCCTTTTCACGGCCATATCTGGTCGTTTCCGGCCATGGATCACAAATCCATGGCCAGAAACGTCTTTATCGGCACATGACCAACAAGATCCTGTCGGTCTTGTGCCGATATGACGACTTTTGCCAGGGCCAACAGTGGTGGCTAGCGGTCGGCAGTGGTCTTGGGTGGTTGGGGGTATTTTGTTAACTTTTAAACTTTTTTGTGACGGGAGTGTTTTAGCTAAATTCTCAAATGTAGGGGGTCTAGGTAATTGTTATTTGGTAGACATATGAGGGCAAATGTTCCGAAATGATAAAAGATTAAGGGCAAAATAGGGTCAAAATTAAGATTACCTCGGTAATCTTATATAACACCCACTGGGAAGGTAATCTGATTACTCCCAATATTACAAACAATAAACACTATTTACAATAAAAGATTACGTAATCTTTTATTACTTGACAACCAAATGAGGGAATCTTGAAAATTAAACAAAGATTACAGGATTAATCTTATATCACCCTAAACCAAACGCTACCTAATAATCTTCTTAAATGGCCTTAATATGTGTTGATGGAATTATGTTGTCAAATAATCCTTCTTAATTGGCCTTAATATGTGTTAATAACCAATGTTGTTTAAGTGATCAAGGCTAATTTGCTGCTTTTCTCCCAAATCTTGTAATGTTTTGAACTTCCCAAGTTAACATTAACGTTGCTTAATAAGGGGTTGTCAAATAATCCATATAAAAAAAAGATAGCTTAAGCAATGCAGCTCTGGCTTAAGCGATCTAGTATATATAAGTCTTGATCGCTTAAGCGATAGCCCATATCGCTTAAGTGACCAAGGCTAATTTGTGTCTAAACTTATCTTCAAGTATACGATCGCTTAAGCGATGTAGCTCTCGCTTAAGCGATGTAGCCCACATTGCTTAAGCGACCAAGACTAATTTGTATCTAAACTCATCCTCAAGTTCACAATTGCTCAAGCGATGCAACTCTTGCTTAAGCGATATCCGACGTCGCTTAAGCGACCAAGGCCAGTTTGTGTCTAAACTCATCCTTAAGTACATGATCGTTTAAGCGATACAACTTTTGCTTAAGCGATCTAGTATTTATACCTTGATCGCTTAAGCAATAGCCGACGTCGCTTAAGCGATCAAGGCTAATTTGTGTCTAAACTCACCCTCAAGTACACGATCACTTAAGCAATGCAGCTCTTGCTTAAACGATCTAGTATTTATGCCTTAATCACTTAAGCGATAATTGACGTCGCTTAAGCTACCAATGCCAATTTGTGTCAAAATAATCGTAATCTCTTAAGCGATGTCAACTCTCGCTTAAGCGAGCCTACACAGATTAGCCTTGAGTGAGCGGTTCCGGGTACCCTACATTTTTCGGGGGAACTGGAACCGGAACCGCATAGTACAGGTTCACAAAAAATGGAACCGGAACTGGAACCGCACAGTGCAAGTTCTTAAATTCAGGGAATCGAACCTAAAATGCAGGTTCTGGTTCCTTTCTCGTGTACCCTTGAAAAAGTCAATTACCCCCTTATTATTTTCAAAAATGACAAAAATACCTAAAAAGTTTACAAATACACCCCTGAAAAATTTTGATTACTCATTTATTTGTGTCCAATGAGACTCATAAATCCTCTAATATTTAGGCAACACTTGAATTCAATCAATTCATCACAATTCACATAAAATTCCTCAATCAAAACCAAAACACAACCAATTAATTAAACAATTATACTATAAATCTATAATTTAATATTATAATTAATTAAATTTCTAATCATTTAATTAAATATTGCACTAATGTTCTATAATGTAATGTTATAATTAATTAAATTTCTAATGTTTATAATGTAATGTTATAAATTTATAATTAATTAAGTAATCATTTAACTATGTAATGTTATAATTAATTAAGCAATTAGAATATAATGTAATGTTATTATTAATTATAATGTAATATTTTAATTAATTAAATTTCCAATCATTTAATTAAGTATTATACTAATGTTTATAATAGAGTATTATAATTAATTAAGTAATCATTTGTTTATAACATAATGTTATAATTAATTAAGTAATCGTATTATAAATTTATAATGTAATGCTATAATTAATTAAGTTTCTAATCATTTAATTAGGGTATTGTGCTAATGTAGTAAATTACTAATGTTTATAATATAATGTCATAATTAATTAAATAATCATTTAATTATGTAATGTTATAATTAATTATGTGATCATACTATAATATAATGTTATAATGAATTAAGTAATCATGCTATAAATATTTAATGTAATATTATAATTAATTAAATTTCTAATAATTTAATTAAATATTGTACTAATGTTTATAATGAAATGTTATAATTAATTAAATAATCATTTAACTATAATGTAATGTTATAATTAATTAAGTAATCATTAAACTAGTAATGTATTAATGTTTATCAATTTATCATATATAATTAATTAATTACTAATTTACTACAGATATACTTAGAACTTGATAATTGAAGTAAATAACTAAATATTTATTATTATTCAATCAAATATATTATTTTATTCAAAAATAATTCTTTTAATAACTTTAAAACACTTTTAATTGATCATAATTCCAATTATACACTTAATTAATCAAAACTTTAATATCAATATATTATAATATATTAATGTTTTTTATATGGTGTAATTTATATGTAATAAGTATAATTATATATTTATTTAATTAGGTTATTCTAAAATTTTAACTTTTTTCATTTAAATTTTTTTAAATGTAAAATTACAATAGACCCCCCATTCTTCACAGATATTTCATTTCAGTCCAGGTTCCAAAACAGGGTACCCACCGTAGGTTCCAAACTGGGTAACCGCTGCAGGTTCTTTTTTCTAGGTTCCGGTTCCTCCACATGTAGGAACCAGAACTGGAACCGGAATCGGAACCGCACAGTGTCGGTTCCAAAAAAATAGAACCGGAATCTACCCGCACAGTGTCGGTTCCGGGTAGGTTCCGGCTCCAGTTCTGGTTCCACCTGTATAGTGTCGGTTCCGGGTAGGTTCTAGTTCCTGTTTTGGTTCCACCCGCTATCCGTGCTCAAAATCATCCTTACTATCATCTATTTAAACTTCAAACAAAAAGATATCCAATTATCAACAAATTGGCCTTGGCAACTGGTAAAACAGTAGCCTAAAAATCTGTCAACCAAGATCATCACTCCAAACAATCAATTAAGAGAAAAACTAAGGAAATTTCATTGATTAACAGGAAGTAAATACAATCAAGAAATCTGGAAAATGATAGTTCCAACAGTTCTAGCAATCCCCAAAATAACAACCTACCAAAACAAGCCAATTTTGTCTCAAACTAAATACACTTTCAGTTCCTACTCTAAAGATTCCATGGATACTGCCAACCCTTTCTAACTAAATGCACTTTCTGCTGCTCAAAAAACACAGCCAAATCTATTTCCAGTTCCTCCAGCAACCCCACCAAAAGCTGATCCTTGTTGGCTGCTAAAACCTCCAAATCCACCACCACCTACAAATGTTTACATATGACAATTATCAGCAAAACCACCTCACCTTCACAAGGACTTAACCCAAAACAAGGGAAGATCAATATAAAAACTGAGAAAATTAATACAGACACAAATACAGAAACAAAAAAGACATTCAATACCATCCTCCATGTTGTCATGGATTTCAGTTTCTTATCAAGCTTTCTTTTTCTTCTCTGCAATTTCTGCAACATAGACAACTGCTGCTTATACACCAACTGAAACAATGTAAAGAACTCCTCTGTGAATGGATTCCCAGCTTCCTTAAACTTCTTTAGCTCCTCCAACGTCTTGACATACCTTTCCTCATCAACCCAATCCTGTAATCCCATTTCTTCCTCAAATTGCTTAATGGCAAGCTTAATAAATTAATTGGCTGTTTCAAGCACGCTTAAGGCAATTCTCAAAAACAGTGCAAAAATCTAAGATCTGGATGCTACTCTCAAAGTACTCTTCAACCAAATTAAACAATTCTTGATTATTCCATTTATCTTTCTTGCATTCTAGAATTACTTTGGCCACTTCTTGGTTCATATCAAGAAGACATCCAATGACTTCTTTGAGTGAGTCAAAAGACAAGGAACGAACCTCAACACCGGTAGAAAGTGAGCTCCTAACACGGCTGATACGTTCATGAATAATATTATCAAAGGATTGCAAGTCCGGATCAAGTGTACAAGCGGCCTCATATGAGCTAAGATCGGCTGAGAATTGAGAATCAATGTTCATTTGGAGGGCTGGTGGTGTTGCATCACTACCTTTCTTCTTGCTAGATTGTCCTCCCATCATGGTGATCCAATTGATTACAAAGGAAAAACCCAGAATTGTATTTTAGGAACCTATTATTGCAGCTTTACTATGAAAAAGAATGGTATGCAAGCTTGGGGTACTGAATATTTTAGCTTAAAAAACCCTAGAAAACTAAGATCTTCAGAATCGAAACGGCAATCCTTTAATTTGACTAAGATGACAAAGATGTTTATAATAAAGAAAGAGTACAGAATGTCAAAACCAAGCTGAACCAATAAATTAAAGCTGAACCAAATTGCACCAACCACTACTCTACGAAATCGAGTCAAACTTAGATCCAAATGAAAAACCCAAAATCAATATGTAAACTTTAATTGAGAGAAATTTTGTTGAACTTAAAAGTACTTGAATTTTAATCGAACTCAATAAGATAAGACGACTTTACTCTCACTTGGATCCTCCGCAAAAAGTAAACAAGCTGAAATATGAGCTAAACCCCACAACCAAGCTCTCTTTCGATATAATTGAAAATGCGACAACAGATATTTGATAATGTATAATAATGTGTTATCAAAACCCTTTAGTAACTGTAATAACACCGGAATTCACATCCGGGTAACATAGCATTCCCCTTTAACAATTAGTTTCAATTAAAGCGAACAACTTTACACAAAACTAAAAATCAACCCTTAATTCGTATCGAAATTCTCATCCTGGTACAAAAGAATTCACATTTAACAAATAATACTAAGGAACTTCCCATTAAAGCAAACACATTTAGTAAAAACTTAAAATCAAACACAATCAGGTACCTCAAAATTCATAGCTCAAAACTAAACATATACTGTAAATTCTCCAGAAGCAATCCGAGCAGACAACTCAGCCCTCCGTTTCTCTTCAAGAAGCCGCTCCACTCTCTTCACTGCACCATCTCCCGGCTCAGGCTCCCTCCNCAACAGTACATGCATCAGCTACCCAGTTTTCATCACTCATATATCTCTTTGTTTCAAGGTCTCTTCATCCGTTTGGTCGAATAGCATATATTCTTGAGAATTATTGCCTCAACATGTTGTGGGGTGGACTTCTGCTTGTCCCTCACAAATTCTCAATATGCAGAACCCATGACATCAAATGTTGATCCACTTCTGTCGTAGCTAGCGTGGCAAATTTATGGGTTATTTGACATATTTGAGGAGCTGGAATTCATTCTAACAGATAATGTTTCATAATACAAACCCTTTAAAGCAATTTGGTCAGCCATTGATTTATTTATAAATATTTGTATGAATTAAGTTGAATCTTGATAAGATTGACTTATTATTCCTTCTTCTTAATTTGTTAGGTCTGTTTGATATTTAGAGCAGCAGTTGTCGTGTTTTTATTTGCAAGATATGGTGGAACAATTGTTGTGGCGATAAAATGAGCTTCCTTTAAAATATTTTTGAGACACTTTAAACTTCAATTCTACGTATTACAGCAATATAACACTTGACCTCTGGTTTACTTCCACAATTTGAGCTTAAATACTGAAATATTTAGGGGTAGATGGGCCTCGGTACCCGCCCAAATTCAAAGGAATCGGAATCGGAATCGGAATTGGAATAGGCCGGTTCCTTAGATTTGCAACCGAAACCAGAATCGATTGGTTCCTACATCCTAGAAGCCAAATTGGACCCTAGTACATAGGTTCCAGTTTGGGTTCTGGATACCTAGGTTAATTTTTTTACAGCCAACTTTTTAAAAAATAACAAATAAACCCTCTAAAAATGACAAACCTCTAAAAATGACAAGTACACCCTCAATAATTTATAAAAATTATAATTCAGTCTCGATTATCGGATCTCGATTTTAGTTCCAGTTCTGGTTCTTGCAGGGGTGAAATCAAAATCAGAAACGATTGATTCTTGATTTCTAGAATCGGAACCTACCCTATGAGGGTTAGTTCCTAATAGGAACTGGAACCAAAACCACAAGTATCCGTCGGTTCCAATTTTGGCCAGTTCTTTTGTTAACCCCAAGAAATATACGCCATAAAATTCCAAATTATTCAAGAAAAGTGCCAAAGATCCATTGATGACAGAGACCAGCTTACAATAGTTGTTAATTTATGAAAGGGACCTGTGAAAACTGAGTCAGCATGTCTTTCATTTGAGCTGGCTTTTAGGTACTCCATTTATTTAATTAATTAGGTGACTGCATTTTAGGAACTTGTTGTTCTGTCCAATGTCCATGAAAACGTCAACAAAATTGATAATTAGAATTTGTTAAAATGAGAAACATGTGTTTGCGGTGATTGATTGAATTTCTGGTCCACACGGCAGGATAAGGCTGAGGCAGCAAAATTTATTAATAAATAGACTATACGCCTACTGGATATATACGAATATCAGTCTGAAGTGTAATTGAAGAATTCAAATCAGCCTATGCATCAATGTTGCTTTTCAATTTCCTTCTACTTGCCCCTTAAACATGGAATATCCGCGGGTATAATGAAGAAGTTAACCTTAAAATAACCTTCATCTTCAAGCACCTAATATTAGAATACAATAATACTCAGCAGGATTTCCCGAAACTCTCGTCTTTCAATTCATTATTTTCATTAACAAATAACAAACACTATTATAGAATTTTTTAATTGTTTACTCATTGAATAAATCATTAAGGCAAACTAAATGTTCATGGGATTATCAAGGATCTATATTACCAGCCGACAATCCAAAATTTACAAAAGCATCTAAGAATACAAACACCAAGCATTTTAATTTCCAACATGTTCTCTATTGCTAATAGGGATGATTATTGGAGGATATATCAAATTATTAATTTCAAGACCTTAGAGGATTAGTCGAGATGTACGCAAACTGNAGTCGTAACACAATTTCTGGCCAGATTCCGGCGGTGGTCGCCGGAATCTGGCCGCGGGTGGTGGAGGTATTTTTGTCATTTAACAAACTTTTTATATATAAGGGTGTTTAGTTAAATTAGCAAACCTAGGGGGTTTTTTAGAAATTTTTAAAAAACTAAAATATCAAACTTCAAGGGCATTTTAGTCTTTTCATTGTTAACAAACAGAAATCATTAACAGCACATGACAGAAAGTATTTGTTTGTCGTTTTAAAACCTTTTAGGTATCAACTTATCGTTTCAGCAAATCTTAGGTATGCCCAGTTATTCGGCGAAAAAATAATAATTTTACTTCGAATGGCGAGCAGCTAAATCATAATGAGTTGCGCCCACCGTGTCAAATTGCATTATTACCCTTCTTAATTAAAATTTAAAAAAAAAAAAATTGTCATGCACATGGGCCTTTCTTTTTCAGCTTTCTTTAAGCCATATTATATAGAGGCTTTTTGTTTTTTATTTTGTTTGCCTCTATAGCCACATACGTGGGCCTTTTGGTTTTCTTTCTTCCATAAGCCACATATATGGACCCATTTTGTTTTTTCTATCTTACAAAACTACATGCATGGGCCTTTTTCTTTTTTAGCTTGATTTTTGTTAACAAGTTGCAATCATGCGGATCAGCGGATCTCTGTTTGATGGCTGTGAAGTTTATATGATGGAAGCTACTCCAGAGCGTTAAAACCATACATGTTTTGTGGCCTTAAAGAGAGAATGAGAAGCCACAGCAATAAATAGAGGAGATTTTACAATTTTTATTGGAGCACAGCAGATACTCATTGCTGTATCAGAGGAGGGCAACCAAAGGATTAATTACTGTAGCGCTGCGAATTACCAAGGGTGTTGACAGATTCCAATGTCTACAAATTATCCGATTTCTGTTCAAAGAATGTTCATCATTGACAAAAGCTCACCAATCCACTATTTGTCCTCTTCAATAATGCATATGGAAGTACATAGAAATTTATTATCTACAAACATAAGAGAACAACCAGAAAACAACAGAATAGATTAGCCTTCTGAACTCTAATTGGCCAGAGGAATTAATATAGCAGCCTTCCCCGGTATCCCAGATCAAACCACAAGCAACTCACCCAAACATCTGTTGTTCGCATTCCGGTGGCATCTACCCATTTCTCAATTCCAGTAATTCCTTGGCCTGTGATCTCATCAGCAACTAAATCCTTTCCAGTATTCTTCTCCAGTCCACCCAGTGATTTGGTCAAGGCTATAAACAAGCCCTAGTTTTACAAAGCCAGTCCATGATTATGGATAACAAAGCTAACGTTTCATAAAAACTTGATTAAACTTTAACAATAGAAGAATCTATCAGAAAATCTGTACCACCACATGACATGATTTACCTTTTTTTTTTTTTTTTTTAAATTTATAAGCCAATTTTATTTTCCCCCAACCAAATAATCAAAGAGAACAAACAATAAGCAAATGTCCTAGGGCGGGTCCTCAGCAATGCTTTCTCCACAGGCAAGCTTCATGATCTCTGGCATAAACATCCTCCTTCCAGTTACAACATATATCCACAAAACAATTGTATAATCCAGATCAATTTGAACAAGGCACGGTCTGTATATCTGTAATCCTGTTGACTCTTTGATTGAGCATGCATAATTGTAGGCTATTATTTGGATATGCAGAGGTAGTATTCCAACGATTTATACAAAAACAGAGCCCAAGAAACTAAAATTTGTAAGTGCACTACTGCGGTAGAAAACCATATGATGAAATCATCAAGCATTGTTGGCAGCAAAGACAAAGCCAACAAAATATGATAGATAGATAGATACTACTAGATAGAAGACCCAAGAGAAATAACTCTTGAGAAGCAGTTGGGAGACATGAGGAACATATATTCAACCAAAGATTGCACAAAAAAAGGTCTAAAGTGATTAAAAATCAATCCTAAATTCGAAAGGGCTTTACTACACTTATAACTCAATTTCACAAGCATTCTCTCACAACTCCTAAGTGGCAGCTCAAAATTCAAAATTTATTAATAAAAAACTAGAAGCTGCCATGTAAGGCTTGTGAGAGAGAGAGGTTTCTTAAGATTGTGTTGTGAGCTTATCTTTATTGAATTCGAAAGGATATTTAATCAAAAATCTCACAGAAGATGATCCACTATACTTGTATCATTCAACCAAAGATTGCATAAAATTAAAAATTTGTAAGTGACTAATTAGCTTATTATTGTAGAAGAAATGGGATTTGACATTAAAAGCTCAACTGCAAATCTGTAAAGATGCAGTAAGCTTAAATTTTTTTACTTGATACACCAGAGTGATCTAAACACACTCATCAATTTTGCCTACAAGCAATATAATTAGCCAAAGCAATCAAAGGTGAGGCTTTCTCCTGATCAAATCCAGACAATTGTTGTTGAGCTTCTCTATTCAACTTGTCGGCTAATTCCCTTGATTTTTCAAGCCCCAGCAACTTAGGATAAGTGACTTTATCAGCCACCAAATCTTTACCAGCAGTCTTTCCAAGTTCCTGAGATGACTTGGTCACATCAAGAATATCATCAACCACCTGAAACAACAACCCAATACACCGAGCAAAAGTTCTTAGCTTTTCAACTTCATCATCACTTCCACCTCCCAATATTGCTCCGAGAACCACTGATCCTTCCAGTAATGCAGCTGTCTTGTGTTGATGAATAAATTCAAGATGATCTAAACCCACGTCTTTTAAACCTTCAGAGTTTATATCCACAACTTGACCGGCAACAAGACCCTCAGTACCAATTGATTTCGCTAATTCTCCAACTGCTTTAACCAACCTCGAAGGCGGAATGCCAACCGTAGAAACAGCCATGTGTTCAAACGCAAAGGCAAGAAGTGCATCACCGGCCAAAACCGCGACGTCTTCGCCGAAAACTTTGTGGTTTGTGGGTTTGCCGCGACGAAGGTCGTCGTTATCCATGCAAGGTAAATCATCATGAATTAAAGACATGGTGTGAATCATTTCAACAGCGCAAGCGGCCGGCATGGCTATGGACTCATTACCACCAACTAGTTCACAAGCAGCGATGCAGAGCACCGGTCTCACGCGCTTGCCACCCGCAAGTAGAGAATACCTCATAGCTTCGTGGATTTTTTTGGGGTCACGGATTGAAACAGCGGCGTCAAGGGCCTGGTTAACAGAATTACCTTTCTGAAGCATATAAGACTTGAAATCGAAAGCGGGTTTTGGGTTTTCTTCTTCTTCCTGGAGAGTTTCTTGTTTGGTGAGAACAGCGCAAACTGAAAGGGATCTGTTTAATCTTGGCGAGACAAAGGATATGGGTAGGCATCTCAATTTTGGAGATGTAACTGGTATCTTTTTAAATGGATGAGATCTTGATCTGGTTGTTTGATTGAAGAGAGTGTAGCCATGAAACCAAGTGCCAAGATTCACAGAAGACATGTTGAAGAAAAATGAATTGAAGGATATACAGTAATGAAATTAGGAGAATCTGGTAAGGTGGAGAGCCCTTTATCTTGATTCCAGAGTCATAAACTGGATTTCCTAAATTCAGACAACCTGCCTAAATACGGTAGGAAGCAATGTAACTTATTTGCATTTTCGACACAAGTACATTTTGAATTTTTTATTTATATTTTATTTTTGTTGAAGCAGAAACGAAAGGAGAGACCCGGGTCTGGGTGGGTGTGAAGAGATAGGGATAGAAAGTATGTGTGTGTGAAAGGACGGTGAGACAAAAATTGAATTTTGGCTTTACATAAAAGTTACAACTACAACCAGTACAAAATAGCCATATATTTATTCTGATAATTAATTTAACAAAATAAAAGACATTTTACATACTTGTCACAAATCTGTTGGTTATAAGTGTCACAAAATCTTAAGGATGTTTTAGATTTGAAATCACCAACTTAATGCTCTCCATCAAGAACTCCACTTTTGACAACCCATTTAAGTAGACAAAGCAATACTGAGTTGGCTTATTAATTTATTGTATAAAAATAGGAAAATTCACCTAAGTCAATCTTTTCATACTACTGTACATATTAAAATAATAATATTGATGAGGGAAACTATGATAAAATTGTAATTACCAATAATAGCATATATATAATCTTGTTTAAGATCGATATATTTCACTTAATTTCATTTTTAACTTTTTAAAAAATAAATATGTTTTTGTTTTTCCTCGTTAACAAGAGTGCGATGGAAAATATTGTAATAAAAGAGAAGTTTCAGCCGTAAGGATGTATATAAATAATTAAAAAAAAAATAAAAAAAATAAAAAAAATCATATGTTTTTGTTAAAAGAAGTTGAAGTTTATTTCCTTCAAATAAGTATTGAAAATGTTAATGCTCGGTGAAAGGATTCAAAGAGGTCTACTTCTAGAATCAGAAAAAAAACGTTTTTTGGAACAAAAACTGACACCTTCACATACACATGTTTAATAAGGCAGGCAGTTGACAAATACCACAGTGTTTTCCATGGTCTTTACTCATGATTCACGCTTTAAGACTACAGAATTTCAATTATTCGAATATATATACAGTATTCTATTTCTTCTCGAGATATTAATCACTGCAGTAACTGAATCGATCAGAAGTTATACCAACCAAGTTGGGTAGATACTAAAATGAGAATATTGAATGATTCAAGCCCAGTGAATAAGGAATAGAATCAAGAGATGCTGTATAAATTTCACACTACCATCTCAACCTTCTACCTATTATATTTTGAGGTCCAAAAACTCTGCTGGGACACCCATCTTTTTCTTTTTTCTTCTTCTAAGGCAATGTTATAGTCCTTTATTCTACAGTAGGCTGAAGATGAAGAACCCAGCCATTTGCAATCATTAGTAAATTATTCTCAGTGTCCCGTAATGGAAAAAGTAATAAATGGGATGGACATATCATCTTATTGTCTGTCTCATATGTATAGGTTTTAAAACCAACAATCATGATAGCGAAAGAATATGTAAATGCATATGGGTTTATTAGAGGAACACACCCATTATTATGGTTAGGTATTCTGTAGGGAGGACCATGTAGATCAAGAGAGAGATAGCGTACCAAGGAAAAAGAAGCTCCCGTAATATGAGAATGTAGTTGTTATAAACCTCTGGTACTCAAATGTGTTTGAAGATACAAACTGGGATCTGCAATTCATGGTTTCCACTCCTTTGAATTAGAACAAAACAAATTGGGATTGACTGTCTATCAGCAATCAACTAGAAGCCAATAATTTCCATCAGTCTGTTGGAAAATGTAATATGACACTTAAGATCCTCCTAACAAATTATGGTATCTCTAAAATTGAGCACCATCAATGTCATACATCAAGCTAAAACATGGCCCATTTAATCCCTTGATGGACCATTCGAGTTCAACATCGCAATATTTTTCTCATTTATTCTATACGTAGGAGAATAATGTCAAGTTCAAATTGGGAAAATTATGGGAACTGCCCCTACAGTTTGCTTAATTATCACTTATATATAACTAAGCACAAACCATCCATAGACCCTAATACCCTCTGTTACCTTTCGAGAAAATATTGACTTTTCTATGCAATAACCAAATTGCCTACTTTAAGAGTTTAGTTAATTAATCTAATGAATGTTCCCATCCCGTGTACCCCTATTCAAGAAAGTTATCAAGAGAGGAAAAACAAAATTAAAACCCTAAATGCAACATCATCACACTAAATCAAATGATGACTAAGAAATCTTCAAATTCATTTTCTAGAGTTATAAGTAATAAAATTAAGTGTTCAACAACAGAGAAAATGAGTTTAGAGTAAATATGATATCTATTGAATAATCTAGACGGTGAATAATCTTATATTTTATATGAGTTCTCCTCCTTTTATAGGCACATTTGCCTTGGAGAGAAAATTTTTGAAAATGAGTTGCAAATTAGTAATTCTACTCTCACATTTTGTACCTTTTCTTGCTAGCTAATCCATCCTTGCCATGCCAGCTTTCCTTCTTCTGAATCAGCTTTCTCCACTCAAGCTTTTCTTAGCTAACCTCAACAGATTCTCTTTGAGTCTGAACCCACTTTCTTGACCCAACTTCTTAACAAAACTCAACTTCTACATTAAATCTCATCCCTTTTGACAAGACAAGTAAAAAGAAATATCCTAAAATAAGAAAAATACAAAGAATGACAAAGATAAATAACAAGATTCTAACATTAATGACTCAAAAATTCGAAAGAATATAAAGGCAAAGACCACAAAAATGACAAAAGACTACTTCAAAAAAAAAAACTTTTTTAACAGATTCTGAATTTGGTCTCTGTTTTTGTATATAATACAAAAAAGGACCTGCAAGTTAGCAATTTTTTGTATTATGTATAGATTCTAAATGCAGAATCTCTTAAAAGGTTTTAAGTAGTATCTTTTGTTTTTATATTTCCATGGCCTTTGACTTTATATTCTTTTAATGGTTTGAAGTTTCAATGACGCGTGTAGACTGAGACAAAGAAGAGAATTGTGGATGCAGTTAGAAGCGAACGTAGACCATTGACAAAAAGAAGGATTGTGTTGGAAATTGGAAAATACGAAGATGTTCTCTTGTTGAATTGGTGTGAATCAATCAACAAACATGGAGTACTTAAACGACTTTTTCCCACTCAAATAATCTTCAACTTTAAATATCACTTAATTCTCAAATTTATATTCTATACAAACAAAGAGCAAATTCAGGTTGTTGAAACTTAAAAGAAAAAAGACTAATAAATCTTTTGAGAATAGAATGTTAGATTTGGTAATGAAAATGATTAAATTGACTTAAAGAGAGAGTTATGTAAACCTAATCGCTTAATTATTGGTGATTGACGAGGTAATGAGAAATAGGTTGAAGGGTTTGAGAATATCATCGAGAAAGAGAATGATAATGTGAGATCACAACAATGTTAAGACTAAAAATAAAATATAAATTTAGAGATAAAATGGTATTAAAAAATTTAATGAATTATTAAACTATTAGCTGAGGAAAAAAAAAGTCAAGCTTACTATGAATGAATTCCTTAACTTGTACTACAAAACCAAAAATCTCATCAAAAGTTAATCCTATTTAGCACTTCTCATCTTAATTAATGTATGAATAAATCTATTTTTATAAAGACTTATAAAAATAAGCCTATAAAATGAAAAAAAAAATTAAAAAAATGAAAAAAGAGAAACCATGAAGATCAAAATGGGAATTATCTTTATATACTCTCGTTATATTTGTATTGTAAGAATATTACTTCTCTTATGTATTCTATTAATTAAAGCAGCTTCTTCTTTTTTTTAAAATAATAATTTTACTTCGAAGGCGAGCAGCTAAATCATAATAGTTGGGCCGACCTGTCAAATTACATTATTACCCTTCTTAATTAAATTAAAAAAAAAAAATTTGTCATACACAGGGCCTTTCTTTTTCAGCTTTCTTAAGGCATATTATGTAGAGGCTTTTTTTTTTTTTTTTTTTTTTTTATTTGCTCTATAGCCACATACGTGGGCTTTTGGTTTTCTTTCTTCCACAAGCCACATATATGGACCATTTTGTTTTTTCTATCTTACAAAACTACATGATGGGCCCTTTTTTTAGCTTGTTTTTGTTAACAAGTTGCAATCATGCGGATCAGCGGATCTCTGTTTGATGGCTGTGAAGTTTATATGATGGAAGCTACTCAGAGCGTTAAAACCATACATGTTTGTGGCCTTAAAGAGAGAATGAGAAGCCACAGCAATAAATAGAGGAGATTTTACAATTTTATTGGAGCACAGCAGATACTCATTGCTGTATCAGAGGAGGGCAACCAAAGGATTAATTACTGTAGCGCTGCGAATACCAAGGGTGTGACAGATCCAAGTCTACAAATTATCCGATTTCTGTTCAAAGAATGTTCATCATTGACAAAAGCTCACCAATCCACTATTTGTCCTCTTCCATAATGCATATGGAGAGTACATAGAAATATTATCTACAAACATAAGAGAACAACAGAAAAAACAAAATAGATAGCCTTTGAACTCAATTGGCCAGAGGAATTAATATGCAGCCTTCCCCGATCCCAGATCAAACCACAAGCAACTCACCAAATCTGTTGTTCCATTCCGTGGCTACTACCCATTTCTCAATTCCAGTAATTCCTTGGCCTGTGATCTCATAGAAATAAACTTTCCAGTATTCTCTCAGTCCACCCGTGATTTGGTCAAGGCAAAACAAGCCCTAGTTTTACAAAGCCATCCATGATTATGGATAACAAAGCTAAGTTTCATAAAAACTTGATTAAACTTTAACATAGAAGAATCTATCAGAAAATCTGTACCACCACATGACATGATTTACTTTTTTTTTTTTGTTAAATTTCATAAGCCAATTTTATTTTCCCCCAACCAATAATCAAAGAGAACAAACAATAAGCAAAGTCCTAGGCGGGTCCTCAGCAATGCTTTCTCCACAGGCAAGCTTCATGATCTCTGGCAAAACTCCTCCTCCGTTAAACATATATCCACAAAACAATTTATAATCCAGATCATTGAACAAGGCACGGTCTGTATACTGTAATCCTGTTGACTCTTTGATTGAGCATGCATAATTGTAGGCTATTATTTGATATGCAGAGTAGTATTCCAACGATTTACACAAAAACAGAGCCCAAGAAACTAAAATTGTAAGTGCACTACTGCGGAGAAAAACATATGATGAAATCATCAAGCATTGTTGGCAGCAGACAAGCCAACAAAATATGATAGATAGTAGATACTACTAGATAGAAGACCCAAGAGAATAACTCTTGAGAAGCAGTGGGAGACTGAGGAACATATATTCAACCAAAGATGCACAAAAAAGGTCTAAAGTGATTAAAAATCAATCCAAATCAAAGGGATACTACACTTAAACCAATTTCACAACATTCTCTCACAACTCCTAAGTGGCAGCTCAAAATTCAAAATTCATAATAAAAAACTAGAAGCTGCCGTAAGGCTTGTGAGAGAGAGAGGTTAGATGTGTTGTGAGCTATCTTTATGAATTCGAAAGGATATTTAATCAAAAATCTCACAGAGATGTCCACTATACTTGATTATTCAACCAAGATTGCATAAAATTAAAAATTTGTAAGTGACTAATTAGCTTATTATTGTAGAAGAAATGGGATTTGACATTAAGCTCACCTGCAAATCTGTAAAGATGCAGTAAGCTTAAATTTTTTTACTTGAACACCAGAGTGATCTAAACACACCATCAATTTTGCCTAAAGCAATATAATTAGACAAGCAATCAAAGGTGAGGCTTTCTCCTGATCAATCCAGACAATGTGTTGAGCTTCTTATCAATTGTCGGTAATTCCTTGATTTTTCAAGCCCCAGCAACTTAGGATAAGTGACTTTATCAGCCACCAAATCTTTACCAGCAGTCTTTCCAAGTTCTGAGATGACTGTCACATCAAGAATATCATCAACCACCTGAAACAACAACCCAATACACCGAGCAAAAGTTCTTAGCTTTTCAACTTCATCATCACTTCCACCTCCCAATATTGCTCCGAGAACCCATGATCCTTCCAGTAATGCAGCTGTCTTGTGTGATGAATAAATTCAAGATATCTAAACCCACGTCTTTAAACCTTCAGAGTTTATCCACAACTTGACCGGCAACAAGACCCTCAGTACCAATTGATTTCGCTAATTCTCCAACTGCTTTAACCACCTCGAAGGGGAATGCCAACCGTAGAAAAAGCATGTGTTCAAACGCAAAGGCAAGAAGTGCATCACCGGCAAAACCGCGACGTCTTCGCCGAAAACTTTGTGGTTTGTGGGTTTGCCGCGACGAAGGTCGTCGTTATCATGCAAGGTAAATCATCATGAATTAAAGACATGGTGTGAATCATTTCAACAGCGCAAGCGGCCGGCATGGCTATGGACTCATTACCACCAACTAGTTCACAAGCAGCGATGCAGAGCACCGGTTCTCACGCGCTTGCCACCGCAAGTAGAGAATACCTCATAGCTTCGTGGATTTTTTTGGGGTCACGGATTGAAACGCGGCGTCAAGGGCCTGGTTAACAGAATTACCTTTCTGAAGCATATAAGACTTGAAATCGAAAGCGGGTTTGGGTTTTCTTCTTCTTCCTGGAGAGTTTCTTGTTGGTGAGAACAGCGCAAACTGAAAGGGATCTGTTTAATCTTGGCGAGACAAAGGATAGGGTAGGCATCTCAATTGGAGATGAACTGGTATCTTTTTAAATGGATGAGATCTTGATCTGGTTGTTTGATTGAAGAGGTGTAGCCATGAACCAAGTGCCAAGATCACAGAAGACATGTTGAGAAAAATGAATTGAAGGATATAAAGTAATGAAATTAGAGAATTGGTAAGGTGGAGAGCCCTTTATCTTGATTCCAGAGTCATAAAAGGATTTCCTAAATTCAACAACCTGCCTAAATACGGTAGGAAGCAAGTAACTTATTTGCTTTTCGACACAAGTACATTTTGAATTTTTTATTATATTTTATTTTTTTGAAGCAGAAAGAAAGAAGGGACCGGGTGGCGGGGTGTGAAGAGATAGGATAGAGAGTGTGTTGTGTGAAAGGACGTGAGAAAAAATTGATATTTGGCTTTACATAGATACAACTACAACCAATACAAAATAGCCAATATTATTCTGATAATTAATTACAAATAAAAGACATTTAATACTTGTCACAAATCTTTGGTTATAAGTGTCACAAAATCTTAAGGATGTTTTAGATTTGAAATCACCAACTTAATGCCTCCATCAAGAACTCCACTTTTGAAACCCATTTAATTTTTTTTATCCTAATCTATATTGCAATTTTGGGACGGAAATAAACAAATAAAAGTTTTAAAATTAAGGAACGTGGAAAACACTTCCCAGAAAAACACACCCATATGCACCTTAAACATATAGCAAACCGAAGTGCTTTTAAATTTAGGATTTGACTCTTAATTTGAAGTAACAACATTCACATATCAGTCTAAAGGGTACTATGACAGTGCTAGGAGATAACGTCACCCTTAGTTGGACCATTGCATCTCTTAAACGGTCTAATGGTCCAGTTGGGTTTAATTACCCCTACCAACATAACAACTCCGCAGTTCAAGCTAGTCATTGTAGAAGAATGAAGACTACAAGTCTAATATCAACTTCGTGATTGTCCAATCATGACCTTATAATAGAATAGCACTTGACAATAATTGGCACATGAGCAATATCAAATCATTGACGGCAAACAACGAACAAATTATGATAAACTAGAAGTTCAAATCTGAAAACATTAACACTATGCCTGTTTATAAACACTAACTTTTATAGAGGATCAATTCAAAACCAATTGATCCGTGGTGTAGAGTTAGTAGTTCTTTATCTAGCACATCACATAATAATATAACAATCATGGGGAAAGTCATCAGTACTGTTACCAAAAGGCTTCTTCAATTATTGGGATATTTGATTATCTTCTGTAAAATCACTGTCCTGGCCCTTCTTATATCACGGCTACACTTATCAGCATGTTCACATAAAACCTCAATAGTTTCCATGAAAACTTCCAACTTCTTCTTTATCTCATCAATGGCAAGCTTCACGACATCTTCTTCTCTGACAGCGAAATCAGCATTGTTCAATAATGACTCCATCTCAATTTCCAATTTGTTCACAAGTATTCGTATATGATCCAAGTCATTGATTTTAATTAAAGTGCCAATCTGCATTGAACTAATTAAATCCTTCTGCCCTTTCAGCGCACTCTCATACCCCTTCCAGAGAGAGTTACACCATTTCCCCACTGAACCAATTGGAACAGCCAATGCACCAGCCAAAGCTGTAACGAAAGGTGGAGCAGCAATGGCAGCTGCCACCACTGAGAAAATTAATACAGACACAAATACAGAAACAAACAAGACATTTGACACCATCCTCCATGTTTTCATGGATTTCAGTTTCTTATCAAGCTTTCTTTTTCTTCTCAGCAATTTCTGTAACATAGACAGCTGCTGCTTATGCACCAACTGAAACAAGGTAAAGAACTCCTCTGTGAATGGATCCCCAGCTTCCTTAAACTTCTTTAGTTCCTCCAATGTCTTGACATACCTTTTCTCATCAACCCCATCCTGTAGTCCCATTTCTTCCTCAAACTGCTTAACGGCAAGCTTAATAATTAATTGGCTGTTTCGAGCACGCTTGAGGCAATTCTCAAAAACATTGCAAAAATCTAAGATCTGGATGCTACTCTCAAAGTACTCTTCAACCAAATCAAACAATTCTTGATTATTCCATATATCTTTCTTGCATTCTAGAATTACTTTGGCCACTTCTTGGTTCATATCAAGAAGAGATCCGGTGACTTCTTTGAGTGAGTCAAAAGACAAGGAACGAACCTCAACACCGGTAGAAAGTGTGTTGATAACACGGCTGGTACGTTCATGAATGATATTATCAAAGGATTGCAAGTCCGGATCAAGTGTACAAGCAGCCTCATATGAGCTAAGATCAGCTGAGAATTGGGAATCAATTTTCATTTGGAGGGCTGGTGGCGTTGCATCGCTACCTTTCTTCTTGCTAGATTGTCCTCCCATCATGGTGATCCAATTGATTACGGAGGAAAAACCCAGAATTGTATTTCAGGAACTTAATATTACAGCTTTACTATGAAAAAGAATCGGTATGAAATCTTGGGTTACTGAATATTTTAGCTTAAGAAACCCCAGAAAACTACAATCTTCAGAACCGAAATGGCAATCCTTTAATTTGACTAAGATAACAAAGATATTTATGATAAAGAAAGAGTACAGAATGTCAAAACTAAGCTGAACCAAATTGCACCAACCACTACTCTAGGAAATCGAGACGAACTTAGATCCAAATGAAAAACCCAAAATCAATATGTAAACTTTAATTGAGAGAAATTTTGTTGAACTTAAAAATACCTGAATTTCAATCGAACTAAATAAGATAAGACGACGTTACTCTCACTTGGATCCTCCGCGAAAAGTAAACAAGCTGAAATATGAGCTAAACCCCACAACCAAGCTCTCTTTCGATATAATTGAAATGCGACAATAGATATTAGAAGAAATGACAGAAATATAAAGAGCAAAAGAGGGTCACCAAGTAGTGTATATAAGGCGGTTCATGAGATGCCTTGCACGCATAGTAAAAACTATAAAGCAAAGGAAAGTGAGTAAAGAAAGTGGGTAAAGAAGGAGAAGTTAAAAGAAGGAAAATCGTAAATATAGAGGAGTGCTGTTTGTTTGATTTAGTTTTCCAAGTTTGAAGTTTCAATGACGCGTGTAGACTGAGACAAAGAAGAAATGTTGGATGCAGTTAGAAGCGTAAACGTAGACCATTGACAAAAAAGAAGGATGTGTTGGAAATTGGAAAATACGAAGATGTTTCTCTTGTTGACTAATGGTGTGAATCAATCAACAACATGGAGTTACTTAAACGACTTTTTCCCACTCAAATAATTCTTCAACTCTTAAAATATCACTTAATTCTCAAATTTATATTCTATTACAAACAAAGAGCAAATTCAGGTTGTTGAAACTTTAAAAGAAAAAAGACTAATAAATCTTTTGAGAATAGAATGTTAGATTTTGGTAATGAAAATTGATTAAAATTTGACTTAAAGAGAGAGTTATGTAAACCTTAATCGCTTAATTATTGGTGATTGACGAGGTTAATGAGAATATAGGTTGAAGGGTTTTGATGAATAATCATCGAGAAAGAGAATGATAATGTGAGATCACAACAATGTTAAGACTAAAAATAAAATATAAATTTAGATAATAAAATGGTATTTAAAAATTTAATGAATTATTAAACTATTAGCTGAGCAAAAAAAAAGTCAAGCTTACTCATGAATGAATTCCTTAACTTGTACTACAAAACCAAAAATCTCATCCAAAAGTTAATCTCTATTTAGCACTTCTCATCTTAATTAATGTATGAATAAATCTATTTTTATAAAGACTTATAAAAATAAGCCTATAAAATGAAAAAAAAAATTAAAAAAAATGAAAAAAGAGAAACCATGAAGATCAAAATGGGAATTATCTTTATATACTCTCGTTATATTTGTATTTGTAAGAATATTACTTCTCTTAATGTATTCTATTAATTAAAGCAGCTTCTCTCTTTTTTTTTAAAATAATAATTTTACTTCGAATGGCGAGCAGCTAAATCATAATAGTTGGGCCGACCCTGTCAAATTACATTATTACCCTTCTTAATTAAAATTAAAAAAAAAAAATTTGTCATACACATGGGCCTTTCTTTTTCAGCTTTCTTTAAGGCATATTATGTAGAGGGCTTTTTTTTTTTTTTTTTTTTTTTTTATTTGCCTCTATAGCCACATACGTGGGCCTTTGGTTTTCTTTCTTCCACAAGCCACATATATGGACCCATTTTGTTTTTTCTATCTTACAAAACTACATGCATGGGCCCTTTTTTTAGCTTGATTTTGTTAACAAGTTGCAATCATGCGGATCAGCGGATCTCTGTTGAGGCTGTGAAGTTTATATGATGGAAGCTACTCCAGAGCGTTAAAACCATACATGTTTTGTGGCCTTAAAGAGGAGAATGAGAAGCCACAGCAATAATAGAGGAGATTTTACAATTTTTATTGGAGCACAGCAGATATCCATTGCTGTATCAGAGGAGGGCAACCAAAGGATTAATTACTGTAGCGCTGCGAATTACCAAGGTGTGTGACAGATTCCAATGTCTACAAATTATCCGATTTCTGTTCAAAGAATGTTCATCATTGACAAAAGCTCACCAATCCACATATTTGTCCTCTTCAATAATGCATATGGAAGTACATAGAAATTATTATCTACAAACATAAGAGAACAACAGAAAACAACAGAATAGATTAGCTCTGAACTCTAATTGGCCAGAGGAATAATATAGCAGCCTTCCCGTAATCCCAGATCAAACCACAAGCAACTCATCCAAAATCTGTTGTTCCATTCCCGTGGATCTACCCATTTCTCAATTCCAGTAATTCCTTGGCCTGTGATCTCACAGCAACTAAATCCTTCCAGTATTCTTCTCCAGTCCACCAGTGATTTGGTCAAGGCAAAACAAGCCCTAGTTTACAAAGCCATCCATGATTATGGATAACAAAGCTAAGTTTCATAAAAACTTGATTAAACTTTAACAATAGAAGAATCTATCAGAAAATCTGTACCACCACATGACATGATTTACCTTTTTTTTTTTTTTTAAATTTCATAAGCCAATTTTATTTTCCCCCAACCAAATAATCAAAGAGAACAAACAATAAGCAAATGTCTAGGGCGGGTCCTCAGCAATGCTTTCTCCACAGGCAAGCTTCATGATCTCTGGCACAAACTCCTCCTTCCGTTACAACATATATCCACAAAACAATTTATAATCCAGATCATTTGAACAAGGCACGGTCTGTATATCTGTAATCCTGTTGACTCTTTGATTGAGCATGCATAATTGTAGGCTATTATTTAGATATGCAGAGGTAGTATTCCAACGATTTACACAAAAACAGAGCCCAAGAAACTAAAATTTGTAAGTGCACTACTGCGGAAGAAAACCATATGATGAAATCATCAAGCATTGTTGGCAGCAAAGACAAAGCCAACAAAATATGATAGATAGATAGATACTACTAGATAGAAGACCCAGAGAAATAACTCTTGAGAAGCAGTTGGGAGACATGAGGAACATATATTCAACCAAAGATGCACAAAAAAGGTCTAAAGTGATTAAAAATCAATCCAAATTCAAAAGGGCATTACTACACTTAAACGCAATTTCACAACATTCCTCACAACTCTAAGTGGCAGCTCAAATTCAAAATTTATAAAAAAAACTAGAAGCTGCCATGTAAGGCTTGTAGAGAGAGAGGGTGGAGACTGTGTTGTGAGCTAATCTTTATGAATTCGAAAGGATATTTAATCAAAAATCTCACAGAAGATGATCCACTATACTTGTATCATTCAACCAAAGATTGCATAAAATTAAAAATTTGTAAGTGACTAATTAGCTTATTATTGTAGAAGAAATGGGATTTGACATTAAAAGCTCACACTGCAAATCTGTAAAGATGCAGTAAGCTTAAATTTTTTTACTTGAACACCAGAGTGATCTAAACACACATCAATTTTGCCTAAAGCAATATAATTAGCCAAAGCAATCAAAGGTGAGGCTTTCTCCTGATCAAATCCAGACAATTGTTGTTGAGCTTCTCTATTCAATTGTCGGCTAATTCCCTTGATTTTTCAACCCCAGCAACTTAGGATAAGTGACTTTATCAGCCAACAAATCTTTACCGCAGTCTTTCCAAGTTCCTGAGATGACTTGGTCACATCAAGAATATCATCAACCACCTGAAACAAACAACCAATACACCGAGCAAAAGTTCTTGCTTTTCAACTTATCATCACTTCCACCTCCCAATATTGCTCCGAGAAACCACTGATCCTTCCAGTAATGCAGCTGTCTTGTGTGATGAATAAATCAAGATGATCTAAACCCACGTCTTTTAAACCTTCAGAGTTTATATCCACAACTTGACCGGCAACAAAGACCCTCAGTACCAATTGATTTCGCTAATTCTCCAACTGCTTTAACCACTCGAAGGCGGAATGCCAACCGTAGAAAACAGCCATGTGTTCAAAACCAAAGGCAAGAAGTGCCTCACCGGCCAAAACCGCGACGTCTTCGCCGAAAACTTTGTGGTTTGTGGGTTTGCCGCGACGAAGGTCGTCGTTATCCATGCAAGGTAAATCATCATGAATTAAAGACATGGTGTGAATCATTTCAACAGCGCAAGCGGCCGGCATGGCTATGGACTCATTACCACCAACTAGTTCACAAGCAGCGATGCAGAGCACCGGTTCACGCGCTTGCCACCCGCAAGTAGAGAATACCTCATAGCTTCGTGGATTTTTTGGGGTCACGGATTGAAAGCGGCGTCAAGGGCCTGGTTAACAGAATTACCTTTCTGAAGCAATAAGACTTGAAATCGAAAGCGGGTTTGGGTTTTTCTTCTTCTTCCTGGAGAGTTTCTTGTTGGTGAGAACAGCGCAAACTGAAAGGGATCTGTTTAATCTTGGCGAGACAAAGGATAGGGTAGGCATCTCAATTTGGAGATGAAACTGGTATTTTTAAATGGATGAGATCTTGATCTGGTTGTTTGATTGAAGATGGTGTAGCCATGAACCAAGTGCCAAGATTCACAGAAGACATGTTGATGAAAAATGAATTGAAGGATATAAAGTAATGAATTAGGAGCATGGTAAGGTGGAGAGCCCTTTATCTTGATTCCAGAGTCATAAACTGGATTTCCTAAATTCATACAACCTGCCTAAATACGGTAGGAAGCAATGTAACTTATTTGCTTTTCGACACAAGTACATTTTGAATTTTTTATTATATTTTTTGTTGAAGCAGAAACGAAAGGGAGACCCGGGTCTGGGGGGGTGTGAAGAGATAGGATAGGAGAGTGTGTTTGTGTGAAAGGACGGTGAGAAAAAATTGAATTTTGGCTTAATACATGATACAACTACAACCAATACAAAATAGCCATATATTTATTCTGATAATTAATTTGACAAAATAAAAGACAATTTACATACTTGTCACAAATCTTTGGTTATAAGTGTCACAAAATCTTAAGGATGTTTTAGATTTGAAATCACCAACTTAATGCTCTCCATCAAGAACTCCACTTTTGACAACCATTTAAGTAGACAAAGCAATACTAGTTGGCTATTAATTATTGTATGAAATAGGAAATCATAACAGATTACATATTCACCAAAGTCAATCTATACATATTAAAATAATAATATTGATGAGGAAACTATGATAAAATTGCAATTACATAAAGTATATAAATCTTGTTAATCGATATATTTCATTAATTTCTTTTTATTTAAAAATAAATATGTTTGTTTTCCTCGTAACAAGAGTGCGATGAAAATATTGTAATAAAGAGAAGTTTCAGCGTAAGGATGTATATAAATAATAAAAAAAAATAAAAAAAATAAAAAAAAATCATATGTTTTGTTTTAAAGAAGTTGAAGTTTATTTCCTTCAAATAATATTGAAAATGTTAATGCTCGTGAAAGGATTCAAAGAGTCTACTTCTAGAATCGAAAAAAAACGTTTTTGGAACAAAAACTGACACCTTCACATCACATGTTTAATAAGGCAGGCAGTTACAAATACCACAGTGTTTTCCATGGTCTT